TAGATTGTTTGCACTATTGATTTTCCCCTGTTCTGAATTTTGCTGTTTGCATCCTCATGATGTCACATACCATGTTCCTCAGTCTCATACGTTCCTGTAAACTGGAATTTCATTGTCGTCGGTTCAGTAAGAGAGATCAGAATCAAGTTCAGTTATCTGACAAGATGACTCCCAGGTGGTGTTGTATCTTGCCATCAGGGTGAACTTGATGTCTGCTTTTCCCTCTGTTTGTGTTAGCAATTATGGATGATCGTTTTATGGATCCACTACTTCATTAAGTATTGCAAAATGATGACAGTCTATTCTAACATTTCCTTTTCCTCAAGTAGCTGGAAAATTTTTATTAAGGTATCATTTTCCTTTTCAATTATTTAGTAACCTGAAGTACAGCTTATGCAGGCAAGGCAAGATAAATGCTTGATAAACACCAGGATTAATTACAGATGGATAAAACTTTTAAATGTTAGAAAAAAGAAAAATTTTAAAGTCCCTAGAAAGAAACAGATAAGAATTCCATTATAATCTATGCATGCGGAAAATATGACTCAAAAACCAGGACATACAAATAAATTAATTGATTAATTTGCCTATGTAATACCAATACACGTCTATATAACAAAAATAAATATATAAATGACCACCTGGAAAATAATATTTGTAACTCACATAGGAATCAATGACTAGTCTCTTTTTATGCAGAGTGCCAATGTAGGCTCACGAGTTGTAACAGATGTGCAGAAAGTCAACAGCAGGGGAGGCTGTCCACGTGTGGGGACAGGGGGCATGTGGGAACTCTGTACTTTCCATGCAATTTTGCTGTGAACCTAAAACTTCCCAAAAAAATAGAGTTTATTAATTCTTTTTTTAAAAAGGCAAAAGACCAACAGCTAATTATAAAACATGGACAAAAGATATAAAAAGAGAACTAACAGAAAAACAAACTGATATCAAACACATAAAAAGATGTTTAATCTCAGTCATATGGAGAGAAATGCAAACTCAAATTGCACGATTTCTTCCTATCATGTTTTCAGAACCCAAACGTATGAAAACAAACAAGTATGTTAACACATCATTAGTGAAAATACAGAATGGCAGAACCCTTATGTTGGGAAATTTAGCAAACAATGCAGTATTATTTGAAATAGCAAAGTTTAGAGACACCCCAACTGTCCATCAACTGGAACAGGATAACATAAACTCAGGTATTGCTACACGAAGGACTACTGTGCAAATGTATAAAACAAATAAGGAGACTCTCAAGATACATATAACAATCCACATGAGTTGGACGTGTATATTCCTGAAAATAAGAGTGCACCTTCTTTTAGTAATAAAATCTGTAGCTTACTTTGTTTAGATACCAGGAAACTTTAGCTACAAGTGCCTCAGGCCAATAAGGACACAGTCTAAAAACTACTGGTGAGTAGGTAGCAGCTAGTACAAATGTCAACAAAACTTTAGCTTCTTATTTTGGATAACAGACATTCTTCTATATGCAACAAATGAAGAAAATGCTATAGTGCAATTAGCAAAAACTGATCCCATTTATGATGAGTTTGGCCTTGCCCCAGACTTTTGCCAAAGCAGCAATTTCCTACTTGCTATGTGATTTTAAATCTGATTTTGAACCCAGTTCTCCTTTGCTGTCTCTACTGCCTTCAGACAGCCGTATTAGTACCCTGTGGGTTTTGAAATCAAGGAGACAAAGGGAACAGTGGGGAATTAAAAACCACAAACTTATTTCCAAGTATTTTACATACTTTGCCTGATGCCCAGATGAGGAGCAGAGCACAATTTAACCACTACATGTGCCCCCAGGTTATGTGTAAATAATGGATGTGAGATTTCACATTACATATGGTGCCTGCCTACCAGCTCGGGTCTGTGAGGGTGGAGCCAACTCTGAGGGAGCTGGGGGCTGAAGCCCTGAACACAAGAGCCTTTCCACTCACTGGCAGCAGCAGTCTCTGGGCTGGCGTTGGCAGGTTTCTCCAGCAGCTCAGTAGCTGCTAGAGGGAAATTTTAACCACTCCACCCACCATTCTGGCTGGTCTTCAAGGCTCTTGGGCTTAATCCCTACCTATGCCTTTCTCCTTGCAGTTCTGTTCCACAACCTCTTCCCGTGGAGTCTCCCGTAGGTTCAGGCACCATTCCTTGCGACCCTCATCTAATCTGTTGGACTGTCTGTCTTTTTCTCTTTCATATATACTCTCTCCTCATTATAAAGACACTCTTATGTTTCTTGTCTGCCATCTTGCCTCTCCCCTAGACTTTGGACTTAGACTTTAAAATTGATGTTAGAATGATTTAAGACTTTGGGGGCTATTAAATGAAATTAATGTATTGTTCACATGATAAGGGCATGAATCTTGGGGTGCCAGGAACAGAATTCTATGGTTTGAATGTTTATGTCCCCCCAAAATTCATATGTTGAAATTCTTACCCCCAAGGTGAGGGTTTTAGGAGCCGGGGCCTAGCGAGGTGACCGGGTCATGGCGGCAGAGCCCTCATGAATGAGATAATGGCCTTATGAGAAGAGGCCCAGGAGAGGCCTTTCATTCCTTCTACCATGTGAGCTGAGAGTAAGAAAATGGCTGTCTGTGAGGAACAGACCCTCACCAGACCCAAATCTGCTGGCACTCTGGTCTTGGACTTCTCAGGCACCAGATCTGTGAGAAACAAATTTCTGTTGTTCATAAACCACCCAGTTTACAATATTTTTACAGCAGCCCAAATGGACTAAGACAATCGCTGAAGGAAACTAAATCAGTATCTTGCAGAGCTATCTGCACTCTTATGCTCATTGCAGCATTGTTCACAACAGCAAAGATATGGCAACAACCCCTGTCCATGGGCAGATGAATAGATAAAGAAAATGTGGTGTTTATTAACATTTCATTAATAATAACGGAATATTATTCGGCCTTCAAAAATAAAAGAAAATCTTGCATTTGCAACAGTATGGATGAAACTGGAGGACATTATGCTAAGTGAAGTAAACTAGCCACTGAAAGACAAACACTGCATGATCTCACTTATATGTGGAACTTTAAAAAGTAGAGCTCACACAAGTAAAGAATGGAATGTTGGTTGTCAGGGGTTAGGGACTAGGAGAAATGAGGAGATGTTGGTCAAAGAATACAAAGCTTCAATTATGCAGGGCAAATAAGTTCTCGAGATCTAATGTGAAGCATGGTGACTATAATTACTAACATAATTACTAACTGTACTGTATTTTTGAAATTTTCTAAGAAAGTAGATCTTAAATGTTCTCACCACACCAAAAAAAAAAGTAACTGTGAGGTGCCGATATGTTACTTTCCTTGATTTAATAATTTCGCAATGCATACATATAGTAAAACATCACATTGTACACCTTAAGTATACACATTTTTTATTTGTCAATTATAGCTAATAAAGCTGGGAGTCAGGAGGTATTATTGCAGCCATCTTTGAAAGATAAAATCCACATTAAGAAACCACAGTAAGTTAAGGAGAAAGAATGAAGTTGACATTAACTCCAAAACATATGCCATATTTCTGAAAGCTTTTCTAAAATACCAGCTAAAAGTTTTTGTAATGTATTATTCTCAGCCTCTTCCCTTACATTGCTTAGTTTTTCCTCATATTTCCTGTTTAGCAAATCCATTTCTTTCTCCTTTTCTTCCTTTGATTTATTAGTATATTTCTCTTCCACTCTTTTTTTTTTCTCTTCTAATTCATCTTCATAGGTTTTTCTCAAAATCTCTGCCTCTCGTCTCAGGCGTTTCTCTGTGTCCTCGTATATGGCATCTGAAAAGAAAGACCCTCCATTGCCTTGCACCATTGTCTCTATCAGCCCCACCAGCCCCTCCACTTGGCTTTCCTTCTCTGCTTCTGGGGTGTTGTCGAAGGCATAGAAGCGGTTCCCGCACTCTCGGATGATCTTTTTTAGGTTCCAATCTGCTGCTTCTAGAAAATCTTCTAGCAGTTGGCCCTGGCCCATTAACTCGTCTTTTCGAGTGAACAAAATGATCATATACTTCATGGCTGGCTCCCCAAAGAGAGCCTTGATCAGTGCAACGGTTCTCTGCTCTTCCTCCGTGAAGCGGCACAGCTGCATGACCAGGACAATGGCGTGAGGCCCTGGCAACGAGCGGATGACACACTTGCTGATCTCACTGCAGGTGGTGGTCAGCTTCTCCTTGTCGTCAAAGAGCCCAGGGGTGTCAACAACAACAAGTTCTCTCCCCTTCCATTCCCGCGATGCTCTCTGACAGGTCTTGGTCACAGCTTGGGCAGCAACTCTAGAGTCAAAGATTCTCTTCCCAAGGATGGTGTTTCCTGTTGCACTTTTCCCACTTCCAGTCTTCCCTACCAGAACGATCCTCAAAGACTGCTCGGTATGCTCAGCCATGTTCACACCAAGAAACTCTGGAGCTTAGGCACACACAGGACCTCAAGGAGGGAAAGGAGAGGAAAAAGAAAAAAAAGACCAATTTAAGTAATAGGGCCCATTTCCAACCCTCCTTTCTTCCTCTCCCTGAAATTGTGTTCTACTCTATTATCCATATTGATCCCAGTAGGGACTGAAACATGAAATAGTTGAAGGACTATAAAAAAACAAAAAAGTAGTTTAAGAGTTTCCCCACAAAAGAGTACCAGGTCCAGATGGTTTCACAGGGAAATTCTATTCAACCGTTCAAGGCCTGGCGCAGTGGCCCACGCCTCTAATCCTAGCACTCTGGGAGGCGGAGGTGTGCGGATCGCTCAAGGTCAGGAGTTTGAGACTAGCCTGAGCAAGAGCCAGACCCCGTCTCCACGAAAAATAGAAAGAAATCAGCTGGACAACTAAAAATATATAGAAAAAATTGGCTGGGCATGGTGGCACGTACCTGTAGTCCCAGCTACTCGGGAGGCTGAGGCAGAAGGATCGCTTGAGCCCAGGAGGTTGCTGTGAGCTAGGCTGACGCCACCGCACTCTAGCCTGGACAACAGAGTGAGATGAGACTCTGTTTCAAAAAAAAAAAACCTTTTAATATCTGATCATCTCAATGCTTCTTAAACTGTTCCCAACCACACAAAAAGAAGGAAAACTTTAAATTCTTTCTATGCAAGTATAATATTGATTCCAAAAACTGGCAAAGATTTCACCAATAAAAAACTACAGACTCACAAACTCATTTGTGAATATTGATGCAAAAATCCTAAATTTTTGCATCAATTGATACAAAATTGATGCAAAAATCCTAAATGTCCAAATTATTAGACAGTAATAAGTGATACGCCATGATTTAGGGTGATTTATTTCAGAAATACTAGGGGGGTTAAGTCAATATGAGAAAATTGCTATCATATATACATAGATTAACAAGAAAATTACCTAGATGCAGAAAGGACATTTGGCCAAATTTAACACTGATTCATGTTTAAGCCATTTCATAAAGTAGAAATTAATACATACTTCTTTAATATGATTTTATTCAAATACAAATTTTTTAACTTTTGTCATCTTTTTTTCTGGAACTAAAAATGCTGATTACAAAGTCCATTTGGATGCAGAGAAAAGCAAGTTAGTCTGGACAATCAAGAAAAGGAAGAACAAGAAAAGACTACCTCTACCAAGAGTGAAACATTATAGTCTCTATAATTAAAGAAGTAGGATGTTGGTGAATGAATAGAGAGACAGACTGTGAAACAGAAGCATAAAATTAAGGAACAGACCATTGCTCATCTAATATTCATTTATGTTCAATTCAATTATATTATGTTACATTTATATTCCATAAAACACCATCTCATATCAACGGGGGAAAAGATGAACAATTTCATAAATAACATTCGGGTAACTATATAACCACATAGAAAAGGATAAAATTGCATCCAATTCCTTATACCATGCAAATTCCAAATAGATCAGAAATTAAATGTAGAAAAGTAACCCATATAAATAATAAGATAAACATGGATAAATTTTTTGTAAAGTGGGAGTAGGGAAAATTTTTCTTCCTTCCAAATACTAACCAGGCCCAACCCTGCTTCAATTTCAAGATCAGGAGCATTCAGGGTGGTACGGCCATAGATGTAAACGTTTCTGAGAGTTAAAATAGAACAAGGAAAGGACTGAAATTTTTGATAACATAAAAATCTAAAAAACAATGTAAGGCATAATGCACCATAAATAAATTAAAACACAAATATCAAACTAGGAAAATATTACTTTCAATTTATATCAAGGAGAGCTAGAGCTAATTTTCCTATTATACAAAGAATGTCTTAAAGTAGACAAACAAAAGATTAACAACTTGGTAGAAAATTGAGCAAGAGATATGAATAGTTCAAGGAAAAAAATAAATGCAAATGTCCCTTAAATATATACAAAGATATTCAAATTCATTTATAATAGAGAAAAGTAAATATGCAGTAAAAGTAAAGTATAATTACACGAAGATAACTATTTCTCAACTATAGGTATGGCAAAAATCCAAAAGTTTGCCGGTATAATTTATTGGTAGATGTATAGGGGAAACAGGGCATCTCCTACATGTCTAGTAGGAATGGAAATACAGTCCACCATCTATAGAGGAGAAGGTAGCAATGTCTTGCAAAGTTCATATGCATTTACTCTTTGATTATCAATCCCAATTTTAGGATTTATCCCAAGTCTACACTGACAAAAATGTAGAAGCGAGTATGCACAGGGCTATTCATGCAGCACTATTACTGATAGCAAAAGACAAAAAGCCTCTCAAATACCCATCAGCAGGAAACCAGATGAATAAACTGAAGTATATTCACACCATGTACTTACGATCCAACTGTAAAAAGGAATGAGAAATGTCTCTATATACCAGTGTGGAGAAATCTGCAGGATACAACACTGAGTGAAAAAAGGAAGGTGAAGAAAACACTGTATGATTTACTACCATGTATATAGTGGGGAGGAATATGAGTGATATGTATATAAATAATTTTTCATGTATGCATGTAAAAGCAATGGCAGAATCATCTGAAAATTAAACAAACTAAAAAGTTATCTTTTTTGAAAGGGGGAAGACAAAAACTGGAAACTAGTCAATGAAACAAAAAAAACCTAATTATATTTTGTGTGGCAGATGAACCATAAAAGGATTGGCCCAAGAGGCTTGAAAATGCAATAATTTTGGTGTCTGTGTGTACTGTTTTGAAGGCCATCTAAAAGGCATAAACAATGGTCAGCCCAGTAGCAATGTGCACACTGAGTCCTTAGATTGGGATCATCAAATGCCATTTTCCATGTGAGAAATTGGGGGTCTGAAAACATAGCACCAATTCCAGGTCTGAGCCAGGAAACATACAAGTTCAGCCTAGAACATCTTTTCATACTAGAAACCAGGAAGGCTATCAAAAATTACTATGGTCTTATCAGAAGGACTCAGAAGTCACCTTAAAGATGTTCCAACTGGCCAAAGATGGGACAATTTGAGCACCAATAAGAAAAATAATTCCAATGCATTGAAATATACCAAATATGCTAAAATCCAACGGTTTATAACAATACTGTCTTCCTATAAGAAGTTAATTCCTCCCTTTGGAGTATGCCAGGAAAGTAACTCAATATTCTGAGCATTCACATATAAAGGGGGAAAAAATCAAACATTAAAATCTCATGTTTTAACTGTATCTCATGAAATAAAAGAACTGCTGAAGGGAAATTTCTCTGCATAGGATTATTCCATGTACTAAAAGAAGAAAAAATGGTAGAATTAGAATATCATCACTTGGGAACTCTTACTGAAACAATAAATTCATTCTAGGCAATCCTTAGCATCTGCTAATATCACAAAAAGAGAGACAACCAAACTTTATGTGCCCCCTAATGGAAGTTGAGAAGAGCAACTATGAAGTATGCCCACCATAAAAGTGTCAAACTTTAATCTTATCCAACCTCTCCCTTAACATAAATTCACACAACACACTGGAATGAGAAAAGCATGTTAAGTGACATCATTGGGATGCAATCACCAAAATGAGCACCGTGCAGTCCTGTTGGACCAAAGACTCCCCCCTCCTTAAACAAAGAAAATCCACAGAAAGAAACAAGGAAAGTGGAAATCTACACATTGAGTGAAATTTAAGAGACGTCAAACAATCTTAATTGTTCATGGACTTTCATTAGATCCTAATTCAAACAATTTATAAAATTATGAGACCATCAGGGAAATCTGAATACAACTGGTAAAAAATTATAGTTGCTTTTCAAGTCCAGTTGTGAAATTGTGGGTATATTTTTTAACTGGTCTTTATCTTTCAAAGATGCATACCGAATATTCACTGATAAAATGATGTCACATCTGAGATTTGCTTCAAAATAGTCTAGGGTAGGTGGGGAGTAGGAAGCAGAAGACTGAAATGAGACCGGCATGAATTGATGACCGTGGACCTTGGGACAGGTACATAGACATTCCTTATATTATTCTTTTCATCTTTGAATAAGTTTACATTTTTCCATAGTAAAACATTTAACGTGCATATAATGGCCATGTGCAGTGGCTCACGCCTGTAATCCTAGCACTCTGGGAGGCCGAGGCAGGAGGATTGTTTGAGCTCAGGAATTTAAGACCAGCCAGAGCGAGACCCCGTCTCTACCAAAAATAGAAAGAAATTAATTGACCAACTAAAAATATATATACAAAAAAAATTAGCCGGGCATGGTGGTGCGTGCCTGTAGTCCCAGCTACTCGGGAGGCTGAGGCAGTAGGATCGCTGAGCCCCGGAGATTGAGGTTGCTGTGAGCTAGGCTGACGCCACGGCAATCACTCTAGCCTGGACAACAAAGCAAGACTCTGTCTCAAAAAAACAAAAAAAAAACTATCATAAATAATGGATATGAGATTTCACATTACACTAGCTCCATCCTGCACAAGAATGATATGCCATCAAAGGCAGAAATATGGCAATTTTCTTAGCAGTAAATTCTAGACATAGTTTTTCCAATGAAATCAGTAACATATCAAGCAGTCCTGAGTAAGGTGCCCAGTGAGGAGAAGCCAATATTGCAATGACTTTCAGAATTCCAGTTAGAAGAAATGAACAAGTCGTTGATCTTAAGTTACTCGACAAGGAGCCACAACGAATGTGAAACTACAAGGACAAATTATAACCCATTTTCAAAAACAGCCCCTAAAAACAAAGAAAGAATAAGGCCGAAAGCAGCAAAACAGGAAGCAGGACGGAAAATACCTTCTCTCAGCCAACCTCAGGAAACTTACAGAGAAAAAAAATTGAGAGCCCAAATAAGAAACTGAAAGCAATCGAACAACTGAAATAGCAAGGAGTGACAGGAAAACAGCTAGAAAAAAATCAGTTAGAGAAAATTCAAAAAGAGACAGCCTTCTCCAGGAGCTAGAAGATTTAGAATCGAGTCTTTTACATATTTACAGAAAATAAGTTGAATACCAGAAATCAGTGCAACTATATCTTCTTGTTAAACCTGACGAAGTACCCTGAACCTTCTTATTTCCATACGTGGTGTTCATCTATAATTTATCCAATATTCTGAATATGTGGGATTTTAACATATTTATTAAATTGACTTTCCTACCTTTCAATAAAATGGGGAGGGGTAGGAGTGAGGTTTCATTTTAACCAAGGCTTGACAGACTAAGAGAGTGATGTTCTTAGTATCCATGAAAGAACACTATGTCATATACACAAATAAAAAAAGAATCTTAAACTTTTTGAAAGAGGAGAAAGCAAAGGGAAGAGGGTGATGAAAGCGAGGAAGGAAGGCTGTGTGCTGACTCTCGTACTCTGCACCATCTCCAGTAAAATTCCCAAAACTAAAAGAGAGAGAAAAGAAAAAGCTAAATATGAATAATTGTGTGTGGATACCAGTTTTTTTTAACAAATAAGTTTAAAATGCCATAGTTTAGGTTTTCAGAGTCACAGGCTGACACAGAAAGGGTGCATAATTTCATGAGACTCGGGAAGCAGAAGAAACACTGAGGAAAAAGTAGAGAGAACTCTTAGAAACATGGGAAGGACTCAGAACTCGCACAGACTGTGTGATTATAGTTTGGACCACGTATAACCGATTCATCGGGGAGCGAGCGTGCTCAGCTGACATCTGAGTGGCAGATTATAAATTGAGGGCCTTGGACATATCAGATATTGGGATGTGATTTAACCAAGAGCCTTCTGCCTTCAAGGATCTTACAACGTCCCTGGGGGGACAGACAAGCAGTAATACGCACTCTGGGCTCTGGGCACGGAGCGTGACAGAATCAGCTCGAGGGTGCTGAAGTCAGCCTCGAGTGGGTCAGAAGCCCCGGCTTCAGAACATGAGACTGCAGATCAGTTCTTACACCTGGAGGATGAGTCGGAGCCGCCATCCCAGGCGTGTGTGCGTGCCCGGGGAGGCGCAGGGCTGTCGAGCCGGGCAGCCGCTGTGGGGTGTGAGGCAGGCAGACCGCAGGGCCCCAGGGCGACTGCTCCAGTAGAATGGCGGGGCTAAGAGCAGAGGTTTCAGTGGATGCCACGGTAGAAAGAACTCCGTCTAACTACCGAGGAGTCTGGATCAGTGAGGTCAATGGAAAGGCGTACAAGGGTAAAGCTGAAGGACGTCGTGATTCTATTTATCCCTAACTTATCAAGTTTTTAGTCACAGGCTGGCGTTGGATTCTGTCAAATGGTTTTTTGAATCTATTGAGATGATCATGTGACTTTTGTCCTATATTCTGTTAATATGGTGTAATATAGTGACTAATATTTGTATATTGAGCCAGTCTTGCATTCCAAGATGAACCCCAGATATATATATAATTTGTATATGGCACAGGCTTCCTTTTATAAGTGGCTGCATCCGATTCACTATTATTTGTTGAGGGCTTCCATGCCTAAAGTCGGGAAGGATACTTGTCTGGGGTTTTCTGTTAGGAACCGAGGCCTTTGAGGGTCTTAGCCCATAAATACCCTGAGCTGTCAGAAGGTGTTTGATGGCCGTTAGGAGAAAGATCGCAAGATATCCCAGGCTTGGCGCCAGAGGCTGTTCGTGACTGATAAACCCTCCAGGCTTGGCGCCAGGGGCTGTCTGTGATTGATAAACCCTAGGAT